TATGATGGTTGTATTTACTTTGAGCACTATTATACTCGTTGTTATGATACTATACATGAAGTCCTCCACCCCCGGACGTTTCCGCCATCCTTGGTTTGGGGGTGTGACACCAGAGAGGGGAAGATAGCTGTGTGGTATGAGATCCTTTCGATGGTGATGTTCGGTTATTGGATTAGATCTATATGTTATTGAGAAGCGATTTCGAGGGCGAAATCTAATTCAAGTGGGGGAGAATTGTAACATCCGGTTTACCAGGTATATTGTTTTGAGTATTTAATTCAAGGACTTTGGAGGGACTCGACGAGTCGGTGCCTCAACTCGTCGAGTAGGGTCGCGACTTGGTAACGTGGTTAATGAATGGACTCGACGAGTCGGAGAGATGACTCGCCGAGTCAGTGCTGTTGACAGAAACCCTAATTCTCTCGGGCCTGGGCCTATTTAAAGGCTCTTAAGGCCTCCTATTGCGGCTACCTTTCAGAAGAGAGAACCCTAAACGAGTCCTTAGTGTTTTGGGCAAGAGAGAGAGCCATTTTGAGCTTCTTAGTGGATGGTTTGCAAGGAAGAAGGCGGTCAAGCTAAAGGGGGCAGAGGAGGTTGTAGATCCGCGATTTACAACCTAGGAGCATCAGTTGGAGGTATCAATTTTGACTCCTTTTCTTCCCTAATTGTGTATATCTTCCTTTTGAGGATTAGGGCTTGTATTATCTTCTTGGTGGGGTTTTGATTGCATCAAACCCCTCTTGTGAGCTGGTAGCATAGATCTGGACCTTGTAAGGTCCAGAAAGTCAGAAAGTAGAAAGCCATTGTTGTGCAACCATGGGGTTTGGAGGTTAGGACGCTTTAATGGAGTCTAAATGGCATACTGAGCGAAATATGCCATGCATGGACATCAAGATCGGACCTTTACGTGACTTTTGGGTGCTAGAAGGCCAGATCTATAAGTTAGAGAAACAGATCTGACCTCAGAAGGTCAAATGAGTGTTGCCATGGAGGAAACTCGCCGAGTCCATGAGAGGACTTGACGATTCGGATCGTGTTGCCCCACGATTCATGATCAGTGGAAAGCCGTTGAGTGAGAGGTTAACTCGACGAGTCAAGTGGGGCCTTAGGAGGAGTCTGAGGACACACATGGACTCGCCGAGTCACCTGAGTGCACTCGGCGAGTCTGGTCAAAGTTAGACCGTTGACTGGAGTTGATTTCAGTTGACCTTAGCGTTTGGTCAAACTGATTCAAGAGAGGCTATGGAGGGGTAGAATGGTCTTCTACCCATTCTTTAGAAATGAGGATACAAGGAGATTATTGATTAGAGATATTATCATTTTGATAGGCGGAGTCTAGATTGGGGATATCGAGCACGAGAGTTTACTAGACATCATCGAGGTGAGTCTTCTCACTATACATTACCTAGAGTGGTAACTATGTGCAGACCGAAGGGTCTTATGTGTTATGTATATGTTGAGTTTATGAGCATTGTGATATATGTATGCTATGTGTTACATAGACCGGACCGGAGGGTCCTACGATTTAGACCAGATCAGAGGATCCAACGATTTAGACCGGACCAGAGGGTCCAACGAGCTAGACCGGACTGGAGGGTCCAACGAGCTACGGGACTGGAGGGTCCCGCTGAGACACATTGACCGGAGGGTCATACCGAGTTATAGCCTCGAGTGGCTTATGTGTTGTATGTGGTATTTTGGGGAACTCACTAAACATTTATGCTTACCGTGTTATGTGATATGTGTTTCAGGTACCAGGGAGGGTCGCGGGAAGGCGCCGACATGATTTGTACACACTGGCAGAAGATTATGTGTTGAGATTCTGGGATATGTTTTATTGTGATGACATTGATACATGAGATTTTGAGAATATTATATGAGTTTATTATGTTTGAAAAATGAAAAATTGTTTTAAAATTTACGTCGTTACAGTTTTGTTGGGTTAAAACTCAAGTAGCTCACAAGGCTTTTCGACTTACATGTTACTTTTAAATGTGCTATGTACTTAGGTATCAGAATAACACCAAACATTTTCAACTCTGATAAATTTAATGGAAAGTTTTTGTAAACCATATTTTACTATAATCAATTTTTACAGTAACTGAACAACCATGGTAAATTTTGAAAGCTAAAAAGTATGGGTGTTTGGCTTAATACCTAAGAGCATTCACATTATATATTTTAATGAGAGAGTTGATTGTGATGACATGTCTAGTTGACATTCAATTGATTAAATTGTATCATTTTAAGAATTATGTTGACATTCAATATATATGAATTCTAATGAAAAAGTTGAACCTTTTTTAAATTTTAAATATATGTTATATTTAATTTTATGAGTTCAATACATTGTTTAACAAAAATATTGGAGTTGTATGGAGAGTAAAATTATGATTTAAAAATTCAATAAATTCTACAAAATTCAATAGGTTGTGAATGTGTTAATTTGAAAATACATCGTTAACTAAATAATGGCATCAACAATATAAATTAAGTCAAAAAATTTAATGAATTATCAAATCATCATTCTATTTTTAAAGCAATTCTCACTATTTAATTTTCTAATGAATACCGCAAAATTTAATGAAACATTTTCTAAAAAACATTTTTTTCAGTCTAATCTAGTGACCATTGAACTAAATATTTAATTTGACATCCCATTATAATATGGTTTAATTTAATTCATTAAATGACTATTCTATATGAGAAAATTACTAATCTAACAATTTTCCCTAATTACCTATCCAAAAATTAGCAATTGTCCAAAAATAGCCTACGAAACCGTAGGTAATTAGAGTGAGCTACTGTTTTGCCAAATGATCTACTGTTTCAGGTTAAATATAAAAAAATCATTTCAAAAAATCTAAAACCATATGTTATTTTATAACCTACGGTTTCCTCTTGACGAACTATGGTTTCCCAAACCGTAGTCTACGGTTTCGGTAAAAAGTCTACGGTTTCGGTAATTTTTTTTTTGTTTTTCGAAAAAAAAATCCCTTAATCATAACATGTATACAATTTTATACATATTACAACCAAATTTTTTTAAAAAAAAGAAAAAAACCGTAGGCTTCATATGAAACATACGGTGTACAAGTCCACACTGCACAAACTGTGCATTGTGGACTTGTACACCGTAGGTTTCTTATGAAGCCTACGGTTTTACTATTTTTTTCGGTTTTTTTTTTAAAAAAGTTATCCCTATGTACAAAAACTACTCCTAATCAATAATACGGTAAAATTTCAATAAAAATAGATGTACTTCGTTGTTCTTCGGGTGCTCCATTGAGAGAAAACAGTAGAAAAACCAAGGAAAAAATAGTAAAAATTAATGACCTAATCTGAAAATCAATATATTATATACTATGGGCCAATGAGCCCCAAAAGAGTAGACGAGTCGGGAAATAGTAGCCCATTGCCTTAAAACCGTAAACTTCACCCCATTGACCGTAGTCAACACACGTTGTTGACCGTAGTCAACGCTAGCCATCTACTCTTTCGGGGGCTATTTTTTGGGCTAAAGTCTTTTTTTTGGGCTACTTTTAGATAGGTAATTAGGAAAAATGGCTAGATTAGTAATTCTCTATAATCATGTAGGAATATTAAAAAGAAAGTAACACCTAAATCCATCTATGTTCATAACGGGATGTGAACCTTCGACCTCAAAAAAAGAAAGTAACACCTTATACCGTTGGGCTAGAAACCCTTCACATCACATTGGGGATCTTCTTTTGAACAACAAGCTATTTATTAAAACATGATCTAGAAAGTTACTAAATTTAATGACCAAATGGTTTGTAACCCAACGGTATCCGGTGTTGCCCTCCCTCTTTGAGGTTGAGGGTTCAAGTCCTGGATGGATTTTAGGAATAGTGTAGGAGTAGAGTATAAATTTGCTGTTTTGAAAAAAAAAAATTACAAGGATTAAGAAGTCAACAAGAGCTGATTTATAACAAGAAATCTAACCGATTGATTTGTCAACTCCCCTATTTTGATCCATAGATAAGACAACACATGGATCTCACCTGGTATGAAACGATGAGACTTAAGAGAATTCTTGAACGCCTTGCCGTGTCTATGTCTCTCAGATTTCCCATCATTAAAGGTCACCACACTGTGGCCTTACATGTTTCTGCAGCTAAAGCCACAGACAGTCGATCTAGAAACAAATGGAGCTGAGATTCAGGTTGCAACCAAAGGGCAGACTAAGGAGGATAAATTAACCTAAAATACTCGATAATAACACAAAGTTGATAAAACTTGTAACGCACAATCAATCTATCAGGTATTTTGTAATATATAATTACTAAATTACAATAACTATGGTAAGATATTTTTCTTTCTTTAGAAGGATATTTGATTTGCTTTTTGGAACAACCCAAAATAAATATGAATATATAGGGAGTACAACAAATAAGCTTTGTTGTTCATCACAATATTGATTAGGATCCGTTATATTGATATGATCTGAAGAAGAAGAATATGAATCACTTTGCATATATACACAATTTTGATATTTAATATTGATCTGTTAAATAATATAAGAATTGTGTTGTTGCAAGTGCTTGCGATCTGTTGTAATGGTTTAAAATCTGTAATATGATTTATTCTAAACATGAGACCCGGATGAAAAGTATAGAACTCTTTTACCCTATATATCTTCGTTTAGATTCTAATTTACTGGATAAACACATACTAGAATAGGGCTTTTTTGATCTCGTTCTTCTTCAATATATCAACTATTTCTCGACAGATGAATAAATGGTTCAAAAAAGATATCTTATTAATTAGATCTCGATCATTGGTAGAGTTTTCAATGGGTTAATCATCAAGAGATCAATAGATCGAATAGCTTTATTAATACAGACTAATATGACATACCTTGGTTTCAACTGCTACCATAAAAGATTTAAGCTCGACTAACGGTTTAACCAAGCAAAAATCATTTTCTGCCGAAAATGACAAAAAAAAAAAAAAAAAAAAAAAAAAAAAAAAAACTAGTACAGGAATACCAAAAACGTTCCAAAAAATAATAATACGAAAATAAAGGGCGACGATGGATCTATTGCATTAGTAGACTCCTGATAATCGAAGCTTGGGTGGAATCTGTGTTGTCCAGCAACTCTGATAGACGCTCACTTAAGTCGTCAACCTCTCTGTGCAAGCTTCTGATATAGCTGCATGTGTCTTGTAACACCCGCGTTGCTGATACCTGCATCCATTGATCAATCATATTGTCATCTTTCTTATCGATCAAACTGTACACACACACACACACGCACACACACACAGAGAGCTATTGAGGTGTTCATAAAGACGGTCGATTTGTTCTTGCATTGGCACATTAAAGTTGATTATACTACCTTGTCGGAGCAGCGGTTGCGAATTTCAGGAAGAAGCTGGTGCAATTTGGAAACAAGATCGTTGATTTGCTCGTCAGTGATCACTGAAGCTGCTGATTGCCTGGATCTTGACCTTCTGCTTGACATTTTTATTCTGGAATTTAACTAAATATACTATACGAGGAAATAATTAAATTTGTAGAGAGATATTGTCTGAGTGCAGAAAAGAAGCCAAGAAATAGCACAAGTAGAGATGCAAAAACCGAAGATCGATCAGTGCATGAGTGAAAGCTGTGGGCTGAGCTTCTATTTAAATATCTTCCATAGTTGCTTACTTCCAAGATATAAGAAGAAAAGTGAGAAGAAAAAATATTTAATACAATGACAGTTGGGCTAATATGTGATCGGAGTTTGTTAAAGATACCGAGTTTCAATCTTACAATTATATATTTATAGTTTCAATCTTACAATTATATATTATTTTATGAAAAATAGTTAACTTTAATTAAGACAAGAAACAATGTTTAATTTAAGATATTCGAGAAATTAGACATTATCTTTCCAGTTTACTTGAAATGGTTTTACACGGTAACTTGAAATGGCAAACAATTACCATGCATATAGTACATTATAAGTTAGAAAACCAAGAATAAGAATAAAACTAGATTCCAAGACCTTTTAAATTTACTGGACGTGAAAACACGCATGCATGGTTGTAGTATACCAACCTGCTACGACGAGGCAAACAGTTGAGAAGGATTGGGAATAGAGACGGGATGGGTTGTACCAATGATCATAGGGGAAGATAAACCCTAATTTCACCTTCTTGGTAATTAATTAAGATTTATGTGTCTTATTTCATAACAACTTTCCACTGAATTAACGTCAACCAAGCTTACTTTTCCCTCCCATGACTATTAATGATATACCGGAGTCGAGATCGGAGCTACCTTCCAGCCTCAGAACTCATCAACTATCGTTGATCTGTCAGTGATGAGTTTCAACAACGAATTGGACCATCGCTGATACTCGACAATATTCTTAGGGGAACCATCTTAAATTTTATTATAGATTAATAAGTAGACGACTAGAATATTCATCACATTCTAAAAAAAAAAGAGGAGCCATCTTGATCTAGACTGAAGTCTGAAAGAACCAGAGCCCATAGATACGGGAATCAATCCGCCGATTAATGTTGTAACAACTCCAAGATTCGAATATTACCTTTTAGAAATCGGAGATGTGTTGAATATTTTTTTTTTTTTTTTTTTTTTAATGAATTTGTGAACAAATAGAATATTAGGGGAGTTTTCCGATAGATTCGGGTGAACACAGATATTGGCGGTGATATCGTGAGGGGAGGAGTGAATGTGTTTGACCAGTCAAAATGCTTGAAATAACAGGCACTTTCCTTAAATAGGAAGAACAGCACATGACACGTAGGCTGCCTCCGACCTTACCCTTTTTGGATTTTGGCCTTCACAAGCAAGGATAGAGATCTGGGGGCATTCTCGTAACTACAAATCCTTTCAGATCTCGAAATCGATATACTATCAGCTTCATTTGAGATATTCCCAGTACTTATACAAGTTATTAGGCCAAGAGTGGAAAATGAATTGTAAGTATAAGGTTCTCTACCATGTATCTAAAAGTTTGGCTGGTAAAAAGTATACCAAAAAATGAAATATCCTATATTGCTTTTGACCATCTTTTATATACCTTTATAATAAAATGAACACATATCTTGAAAAATGAATATTGTTTAAAACTTATAAAATAAAAATGTGCGGACGATACAATTTAATCTTTGATTATTATTGTTATTGTTAATGAGTAAATTCATTCACAAATCCTTACGGAAATTCTCTTAAAAATTGTAACTTATTTTATCTTTTAGCAAACGGTTAATGCATGAAATATTGAAATAACGAGGGTGTTTATCTAAAAACTCCGTATTAAACTTATTGACTTCTTGAAAAGTCAATAAGTTAAAAAATATGTTTGGATACCTAATAAAGACTTTTAAAATTCCTTTTTGTTTAGCATTTAAAAAAAAGTTTTCAAGAAATAACAAATTGTGACTTTTTGAAATAACTTGTAACTTATTATCACTACAAGAAATGTTAGCAATAGCGGCGACACCTTTAGCGGCACGCCAAGCAATAGCGGCGACATATAATTGACGCGTTACATGTCGCCGCTATTGCTTGGCGTCGCCGCTAAAGGTGTCGCCGCTATTGATGACACAGTGGCGATCCGCGTGAAACAATCCCTGTCCGTTCGATTTGTATTCAATCCGACGGTCGTGAATTCCAAAAAAACGCGCTGCCTTTTCCCTCCAGGTGTGTCGCCGCTATAACCCCTTTGTCGCCGCTAAAACCCTCGTGTCGCCGGTATTGTCCGTCGCCGCTATTGAGTTGCGTCAGATAACCCCCCAGTCGACCCTTCTTTCCTTCTATCGCTGTATCTCTCAAAGAACTCCGACTGCCTTCACCATCTGCACCCCATTACGATTCCGACCACCGGGAGCCACTTTACCGGCGACGGGCCTTGTTTACCGGCGACCCACCCTCATTACCGGCGGCCATCGAGTTTATTGAGGGCAATTCCGACCACAACAACATTTCAGTGAAATTGAGCAATCTAAGGTCGAATTTCTTTCCCTAATTTCTATTCTTCTTGTGTTTTGATGTTAGTTTTATCATTCAATCCTGATTGTATCATTGATTTCTATGTTTTGTAAGATTTTTTTGGTTAGTGATTTTGAGTGTCGACCAAGCCTCTTATTTGGCTGTAAGTTGTTGATTTTTGAGTGATTATGTATGTTTTATCATATTTTATGCAACCTATTGTATAATTGATTTGTGTTTATGCTCATTGTGGTGTATTGGCATGAAAATGGAATTAAACATGGTTTGTGTGATTTTGTATTTAGGTGTATATTTTTCTATGAAATTGGTATTGGATGTCTAAAATGGTAGGATTGTATGAAATTAGATGTATTGCTTAATTGTTTGAAATTGGAATTTGAATTGGATGTATTGTATGAAATTGGATGTATTGTTTAATTGTATGAAATTGGAATATGAAAGTTGTATTGTATGTCTAAAATGAAATGAAAATTGGAATTGAATCTATTGTATATATGTATGATTATGTGATATTTAGGTTTAATAGTTTGGTGTATATAAGATGAAGTGATAAAGTTCTTAATTGATAAGTTATAGTTTTTGTAGTAATTTTAATTTGTGCATTCAAATGTATTTAGATGAATTTGTATGATTTTGTATTTAGAAGTATATTTTGGTTAATTATATTTGTAGCATGAAGAAAATGATTTTGTATTTAGAAGTATATTTTGGTTAATTATATTAGTTGGGCGATACTCTTCTACGTGATGGCGGATGTTATGGGCTTAGGACATGGAGGTGATGGAGTCGGGGATCCACCACCTCCAGTAGGCTTTGGTCGTGGACAACACGAACAGGATGGTAAGTCTTATTATGATATATTTGTTAGTTATTTTTATCCATTTATTATAAGCTATCGTGACTAATATTTTTAATTATATTTTTCAGCTGAGCCCCCTAAAAAAAGAAGATGCCTAGCAAAAAACATCCAACTATCAAAGTTGATACGGGCAAACAAGGTAAAGCCTGTAGATTTGGATTTCGATAGGGAGCTGACATATTCCCCTGTCGGGAACCATGGTAATTGGTTTGCCCGTGAGATTGGGAGGTATATATGGATGAACATCCCTTTGAACGTATCTGGTTGGGACAATGTTTCCCCCGCTTTAAGGAATGCCACAGTGGTTCATCTAAAGGTAACTTGGACAATATTTTAAGTTTAGTTCTGATTGGTATTTAACTAACTAACTTTTTTGTATTTGTAGAATAAGTTTGATTTAGATAAGGTTAACTTGGATCCCGAGCGTGCTCAGTTGTTGCAGAGCATTGATGTAACTTTGCAAAGAATTTATAGAGGCCGGAAAAATAAAGCGCATACTTATTTTGAGAATGTCGGGGGGCTTACAGATATCCCAAGGGCATTAGCCAACCCCCCCCCCCCCCCCCGATGGTATGTCACATGAAAATTAGGCGCAAACAGTCGAACATTTTCAAACTCCTGAATTTCTAAAGCGTTCGGCGTCAAACAAAGGAGTCTGTGCACAACAACAAGTTGTAAATAGAGGGGGATCGTGCTCGTATAGCAATGCATGTTTCAAAGAAGTAAACTATGATATATTTAACTATTTATTTAAATTATAATTAATCTAATTTTTAATGTTAAATAGGACATCGCTCGAATCGAAGCATTTCGTAAGGCCAATACTAATCGCCAAGGGGTATTTAGTAGTCCTGCAGTCGAGCAACAATACGTAAGTGGTTAATTTGTATTTTCATATAAGTGCTTATATCGTCAAGGGGTAGTTAGTAATCTAATTTTTATGATGTTTATTATTTTTTTGAAAATACAGAATGCTTTACTCCTTGAGATCAGTCAACAAACTCAAGCTTCTTCTGAAGCCATCGGTCTAACACCAAAGGATACACAAAATTGTTTTGAAAAAATATTGGGTGTTCGACGTGGCCATATCAGAGGTATCGGGCGTAAACCTTCTACGGTTGTGTCGATGTACGATCAGGAACAACCACTGACACAGCCACCACCACAATCACAGGTGACAAGACTATTTAATTTTGGTAATTGCTTAAAATGTTGGTAATTGTTGGTTTAGTAATAGTTTCAAATTTTGGTAATTGTTAGTTTGATAATAGTTTATATATTGGTAATTGTTAGTTTGGTTATAGTTTGATATATTGGTATTTTATAGCTTGGTAATTGTCAGTTTATGAAAGTACAATGTTGTAATGGTATTTTGTAGATTGGTAATTGTTAGTTATAGTACAATGCTATAATGTTTTTATATGCAATATGTGGAATGTATATTTTGTATATAGAATGTTATAATGCTAGTTTAACTTATAAGACTGTTGTTTTATTTGTAGTTGGAAATGCTTCAAATAATGTTAAAAGATCCGGCATGTAGTGCTGCACTTGAAGATTGGTTTCGTTCGTTGCCACAACGAAATGAAACTGGAGGAAACGAGGAGAACGATGATGACGAGTAGATAGTTGTAGGATTTTTTTATGTTTTGTTTGTGCAAGTATTTTAGACTAGTATTTTCGATATTTTGTTATATGTCAAATCAGACGAGTATTTTAAACGGATGTTGTATTAATATTTTGGAATGGAATGATGTAGG